TTTTTCCCTGAATATTTGGGTCAAATACTTAAATACTACTACCATTACTTTTGAAATTCTCACAGTTAAAATTAAAAGGAAAAAAAACCTAAAACGTGTAAATTATTGTTTCAGACGGGTTGACACAATAGGCTGAATATTTCCCAGCTAAGCAAAACGATATTATTACAGAGGTGACTTAAACCGCCAAAAACAAAACCCGACAACAATATCCTAGTATATCTACGAAATGATCCATTCAACGTAAAACACTCAGTATCTTTTAAAATAATTTAAATTTTGTAGTTTTTCTTCGGGGGAAAAAATGTTTATGTTAATTTAGAATATTATAAAATTATTAAATATTTACCTAGTGTTTTCCAGAGCTCTATCAACTTTTAAAACTTTTAAAGGTAACGTATATAGTTTGTTAACTTTTTAAATTAAGAATAATATGCTTATTAAAATGATTAATGTCTAGTCAACATGTTTGTGAATTATTAAATTAAAAAGTTAATTGACTATAAACTTTAAAATTAAGGTTTCAAAAGATAAAGATTACCAAAAGAGTTTATAGGATTTACCGATAAATATAAAAATTCGAATATAGCTTGATACTGTAAAATAACAACTAAAATGTGTCCAAAAACAAAAAATACAATTTTGTAATTATTTTCAGAGAAAACGAGTGTCTTGTATACTCTGCGTGAATACCAAGTGTTAAGTTACAAAAGTATGAATAAAATACAATTTAAATATGTAGAAAGCTACGGTCGGTTTGCCAGTTAAGGGCGAATAGGCCGGTTGTCGTCGAAAGTGAAATGATCACCGAGGAAAACAATAATAATATAATATAATAAATGAATAAATATAGTTGTGCAATAATACCAACCGTGTTGTACGTGTACATGTGCTCGACGACATTTACTCGTATGGAAAATTCGTTTGAGTTATAATGCAATTAGAGAGTGTAAATGGATATATTCATGGGTGTTCGGACACACATGAATCACGGTACACAATTGCACCGTGTATACACGGCTAATATATAATATAATAACGACAATATGCGTGTACGGGATAAACAGAATGCGCTATTATACTTTCACTAGGAAAATCGAGTGGATTTACAAAACTAGATCCACCTGACCGCGAAAGATATATAATACCTTTGTATGATTCCGTTGTTGTTTTTTTTTTTCTAATTCCCTATTATAATGTTAATATGATTCCGCATAATTTTTCGTTCGCTTAGCCCCAAAAGTATCGATGCACCCGCGCGAGACGGAAAACTCATCGGCCTAACCGGATCCTGTGGCATGCGTAAACTACAATCAATCGTTCACTAGCTAGCTGCACACGAATCACGACCACCATGGAACATAGCAAGTACGTCGGTATAGATGCGACAAGGTTCCAATTCCACGTTGATGAATTTTGTGTCAATATTTTCATTAAATCGATCGAATTAATTGAGCTTATGTATTGAGATTTTTCTTAAGACATATTTTTTGTTTTAATATTTGTTTTGATATTCATTGTTTTAAAAAAAAGCGTTTTTAGACCAACTTCCGAACCGGAATAAGTGCAATAGTATTTGCGTGAAACATTAACAATATTACACGTATAATTTTTAAATATAACATATTTATGAAACATTAATAAATGTTATGTAAAAATACTGCGACAATGATTATACAATTTTATATTTTTCAATGGTATTTAATTTATATATTTTTATATGTGGGCGGTAACATAAAACATGGCGAACGATCGATAATAAAAAAAAAGTTAAAGCAATTAAAATCCATTGTTGTTTTTATTGTTATAGTAAGACAGCCATTAAAAATAGTGCCCGTAAAGCTGTTTAATAATAGTTATACCGCGGTACAATGATAGCGTGAAACTTGAAAAGCGAAAATAATATTATATATATATATATATATACTTTCACATTTGGGCTACTGATGCGAAAACTTATACTACTATACATATATATTATATTTTCCAAATGTCTCGGGTGCAAGCTTGTGCGCAAAAAATAAACAAGTCCGCATACACAAAGAATTATTTACTTTATCATTACAACAATACATAACGCGTTATACCTATGTCTGGCAATATTGAGTACTTACGCGGATCTCATCACTATTTTCTTGTTGGACAAAATTAACGCAATACATAATTACGGTTAGATGCACTGTGATTAGACCCGCCATCGCATCGCGTCTAGCGCACACTTTTCATTGCCAACGACTGAAGGAGCTACGCCATTGGAAGTCTACCGAACAAGTTTCATAAGTAACAACCACCCTCTTGGCCGTTTCCATACTTAGGTATATCAAAATATTTAAAAAACAATATAAGCCGTATAATGTAACATACGGACATGTGATACAGTCGGTCTTCTGTGAGGGGGAGGGCATGACTAATTATGTATTTGTAATTTAAAATACTGTATTTTACTCATCCCTGCTGATAGGTGTGGGTTTAAATTATAAATAACAACCCCCCCTCCGAATCAAGGTGGCACGTGGAATATCATTCTTTAGATCCTCGCCTGATTACAAATGTTTAATGCATTCAAAAAAAAAAAAGCAAGTCCCTTAGCTTTTTATAGTGGCATTACCGTTCAATTTTTGTTTCATAAAACGTTTTTGCACGTTGTTGTGTTTAAACAACTGTAGATGCTGTGGGCGAAACGCTTTATAGTAATATCATATATACCTACATGTACCGTACTCTGTACACATCATCGCCATTATCAATTATTATTATTTGGATCGAAACGATCACGAGCGTTCTACTGAAACAGAAGAGATCTTAATACAATTTGTGGTGTGAGTGGAATGACACTGTAATATTAAAAATACATAGAAAATCAATATGAATAGACGTTTGGACACGGTGTATATAGAAAAAAAATCTAGCGAGAAGAGAGAAAAAAAGTCATATAGGTATCTCATCAGAATAAAATAATAAGAATCGTACACAGTGGTACATACATAATATACATGCTGCACAGGTGGGAAAATACAATGTAGTGATTCGAATTGCATTGACGGACGTTCGAAATGTGAATAAATATGAATTTCGAATTTAAAAATCCAGTTCTGCCCACCAGCTAAGTATATAAAATAATACAATATTTAATTGTTATAGTTTTCCTATGCTCGGCGATGGCGACTTAAAAGTGGCCGCATGATACACTCACAATCAGTACATGTTTTTAAACGCACTGTAATTAATCGGACATCCGAAGCGGATCTAACAAGCCACTGCGGTGTTACAGTTTATATTAATAAATGTGCAAATAAGATGGGTACTGTTTTATGCGTTCGTTTTAGTTAATTAAAACACGCCTGGAAATCCCATTTCAGTATAATATGTTTGTCGCTACAAAATTAATTACAAACGTGTTTTCCACGGACAAAAAAATAATAATTAGTGAGAATTAAAATGTTGACTGATTCGGTTCACTAAACTTCAGCTGAACGTTGTTCATTACATTTCCATTTAAACAATATAAAGTGGCAATATTTTGATCATTTAACATTTGCCAATGAAACCCCTTTTGTATCTGTATTTGTTTTGTGATTTATCAAACATTTTTTATACCGAAAGGAATTAGTGGCATCACCAAATTAACGACAACTCATAAAAATTAAACAGCTACGATTAGATATGCATCGCCAAAATATCAACGCTACAATAAATAAAACTTGTTAAATAATTATCGTTTATGGAATCAATATTATTAAGTATATCAATTTATAATAAATTATTTAATACTGTTTTGAGGTGAATTATATTATACATTGTATTATGTTTTTTTTTTAAATTAACATTAGTGAGTACAGGAAAAAATCCTAGACAACTCTAAAAATATGAATAGAAAATATTACGATATAATATCTAGGTATTACTTATGAAAATAAAATAATTAGCTGTGTAATTGATTACTAATAATTAGATTACTTTTACTTTACAACCCTTTCTCTAATGTCAAGAAACAATGCAGCGTTTAGCTATAATATTATTGTATTTCAGTTAGATTATCTAAGATCAGCAGGTTTTTTTAGTCGGTATGTTTGTTTAGCGTAGTTAACGAGATTCGACTTATTAAGCATTGCATTTTCTCCGCGATTAAAAAAAGAAAATCAGGCAAATTGTTTACCACGTGAATTATAGTAATAATTATTAAACCATTTATTTGAAAGTGGAAGTTAGATAAAAAAAAACTAATAACCTAACCTTACAAGTCTCTATATATAATTAATAAAATGTCATCATCATTAATATAGTAATTTGGTATTCGAATCATTCGGTTTAACGACAACTTATTAAAACCTTGAGCAAAACTGTGTAAATTAAATGATTTGTATTTTTGCTATAACATAGCTGCAGTAAAAGACTAATTTATTTATTTCGAAATATAATTGCCATAATATCAATATAAATTGTAAAAATTATTTAATTGCTTTTGTTCAACTATATTTGCTGTTTACAGAAAGTACAAATACAGCTATAAAATATTGTTAATATTGTTGTAAACGTAAAAGGGCATAGCATCGGCTGCTCTTACACGTGAGACATATTATAAATTGCAAGGCGTTTGATTTTAAACTTTTTTAGAGGAAATGCCGGATCGTACCCGCCCAAGTTGTACCGAGAGCAATGTATTCAAAACTCGGTACCTCGTCCTGCCTAAGTGTACACGTGCGTTAGAAAATCATAAAAGGTTTTTTTTAACCGAAAAACGTATATGAACAACTACAGGACGGCAGTCGTTAAAAGGTAATTCGGGGTCCGTTGTGCAATGGAATAATATAATATGGTTTTTTTTTTTTTCGTTATTTCGGCGGAAAACAAACGAGATTTCTAACGCGCAAGTTAGAAAACATACTCGGAAAAAAAAGACCACATAATACAAGATAATTATATTATACTCTACACGGTCTACACTATCGTTGTATACCTATATGCAGAGATATAGAAAACCGACAATATGGAAAACGTACCTGGATTCGGCTGAACGGTGCACGAGGCTCTGTGTAAAATGTGGCGTCGGCGTATAAGTCCAGACACTGCGGTGGCGGCGGCGGCTAAGGACGGTGTTCAGAAACAAGCGGTCGTCGACGAAGGTGGATTATAATAACAAGAATGATAATAAGATGCTCTCACGTGCGTTATCATTGGGGAGCACTTGGCCTATACCGCCGTCAATTGTTCATGTCGGAATGATAGCCGGCTCGGTGCGCCATCCTAGTTTTTACCCGTCGCCTCCCCTCCACCCACGACTCAGCCGGGAACTTGCACTTGTGTGTCGGCGTCAACGCTTTTTACTTCCCTCCCAAAGAGCTGTGCGTGTGTGTGAGTGTTTTTTTCACCGGCTACAACCTCTCGACTGTCCGACACTTTCCCCTTCGCGGATGCCGGGTGCCGTGTTATATTTACAATAATAATTACCATTATCGCAAGATCGATAACTATAAAAAAAACCTATATATTATGAAAAATGGTTAGACGGATTTAAAAAAAAAAAAAGTGTTGACTTTATTTTCTAACTGCCGACACGAGGAGGGTGAGTCTGATAAAAAAAAAAAAAATTATAATCGCACACGACAAATAATTAGTACGTATACATTTTTTAAATTATAATTTAAAACATCCGTTAGGTAACTATAGTAGGGATATGACCACAAAAAAAGGGGTTTCCTCCAAAAAAATGATTATTTTTACCTTAGTCTAATTTCTAATAAATATTAGTTAAAAGTTAGTAGAATTCTAAAACCGATAACTTTTAAAAACATTTTTTTCAATGTTGTTTTTAACAAATGTTGTTCGTACAACGTTACACTTTGTTTTTTTTTATTATTATTATAATTGTAAACTCCATGACTTTAAAGTAGAAGAATCTATCGTATTTTCAAGTCACATCCCTCTAATAGGTAGTATATTAAAAATATTTTTTTATTATTTATTTTTAATTAATACCGGACAACGCTACTTATAATACTCTTTATTTGTATTTAAACAAATTATTTAAAAAATAAAAATAGAGAAAATATAAACATATTTTGATAACTATTATTATAATTTTTCAATAAAATATATTATTGCTGTGTAAGTTATTATAAGTTCATTTTAAAAGGGGACTATTTTTATTATTTTGTCATCGTTTACACGTTCGTGACTAGAAAACCTTCTTAGTCGAGAAGGCGTGAGGACGTCCCTTCGAGAAACTGCAATAGTATAAAATGTTTTTAACTGAGAACACTGTAAGCGCGCGTTTAATATGAGTCAAAATGATAAAAGTCAAGTTTTTACGCGGCCCAAACGCGTTTTATGACGGTCGTTAACCTAAATCAGTAACAATATTTGCCTTGTAAGTACTCACGGTAATTCACAGTGGAAGACATCACACCAGAAAGAAAACTGCGAGCAAATAGTATTTAATTAAAAATCGTCGGGTTTAGCACACAGATCGTGATCGACGCATTGTTTTTGCGGTTGTTTATATATGTGTTCTATAGTAATATTTATATTATACAGTAATTGATAGCCAAGGATTTACAACATATTGCTAGCGTTTGTCAATGTGATTTTCATAAGTCTCTATACCTATCTCTATCTCTCTAAATGACAAGGCTACCACAAGTAAATTGGATAATTGGCTGTTCACGTACTGTGTTGATAGTTTTGTTTTGAAAACGTGTATGATTTGATCGGTTGGGTTCAGAGCTGGTATTTAATTTTAGCTATTCAAAAATTGCAAATTAATATAATAGGTAGTTAATGTTATAGATATAAGTCATAATAATGGTCTTCATAATATGAACTATCGTCTATTACTATTTTTAACTATTCATAATTAAAATATCATAATATTTTTAATTTTTTTTTAAAAATAATCTATTAGTTGGTCACTGAGCAAGATGACAAAATGGATCCCTTAATGATTATTTTTCTAAATAAACGTAATTAGATCAGTATGTTTTTTCAACATTTACTTAACCAAATTATTTAAAAATAAAATATATTTTTAGATGTTTGTGGTTTATTTTTATTTGGAGATAATGAAAAAAAATACCTTATTACAAAATATAACATTTTTGTTTGTCATATTTCTGACTAGAGGACAACAAAAAAAAAAATTTGCAAAATTATACTCTAATCCTCTAATATAAAAAAAATATGGTTAATTTACCTTTCATTATGAATTATTTTAAACGCTAGACTTTTTGACTTCTGTGTTAAAGATGGCACAATGAAAATAATTAGTTACAATGATTTACTGTGGATTGCTTATATTATTTACTTAAAAACGTAATTTTATTATTGAACTTAGGTAAAAGAAAGAAAATAAATTTTTGGATAACCCTTTAATATAATCAAAAATTCTGAAATCTTAGTATTTCTAACATTAGTTTCTAATGTCCCTTGGATGGACTAACTATATCAGCTACCGTTAACCAGATCTATGTTAAGTCATTTCCAGAGACACACACACACTAGTTGAACTCATACCATTCTCATTCGTTATAATGTATCCTATTTAAGTTAACATGTCTACACCATTTTATAATACAATAACTAGTATTCACTCTAGTTTTCAAGTATTTTCATTAAGGAAGATTCCAAGCAACTCAAGCTAGTTCCAAAATACTATTAAAAGCAACTAATTGGCTATTGTGGTTTTTATATAAAACAGTAAATTATAAATTATAGAAAAATGGTAAATTTTAATTAATTTATTGAGCTAAATCAAGTTGACTAATTTCCGGAAAATTACAAATGCAGAGGAAAGTATTCGGTAAAACTGAAACATACTACTACAATATTTGTGTTTGGTATATAAGTATTATTCGACTTGTTGAAATCCTTTCTCTGTAAAATGATATGCTTACAAAAAAAAAAATCGAATGCGTCATATACAATATAAACTAATGACAACATCACGTTGTGATTCCTAATTTACAATCGAAAACTCGGCCTATATATATTTTGCTTTTATTATAAGTACATACTACATACAAACGCCAGACTATGTGCAATTAAGGCGTCTCCATTACCTAGAGCTAATTTTTTTTCATGTTATGATAAAATATATAACTTTCTAACCGTTTGTATTACTATCTATATCCTAATATAGTCTAGAGATTCTAGCTGATAATATAACATAATATGAAAACATAATATTATTACGTTCTAAGGTATTTTATTTGGTAAAAAATACGTTTTTCATTAAAACTGGTATTTAATAAAATATTATTGTTAATACAAATATACACTAGTCCTTTATTTGACGCCAATTATTTTAGAAACCCCAAGTGGAGAAACCTTGATTATAGGCGATACTATTGTAGATAATAACTAACTAAGAGAAGAACGGTGACAAATTTTTTGGACTGGTTTTTTGTTTATACTTTTGAAACGTACAACTTTTTGTCTCGTATTACATATTATCATTTATCATTTATATCAAAATAAAAATGGTTTAGCGCTTCATAAGGATCATGTAATGACTGAACTCTAGAGTGTACAAATTATTAAATAACAGGTATAAAAACATCAATAGGTACGTTAATCAATAACTATCAACTAAGATACTATAAGTGTGTAATTAGATTATTTTATGTCTGCTTTTATTGTTCTGTAATTATCGCATGCAATTTTCTAGTGCAAAAAAGAAACGGTAGTGCTTAATTAATGATGTGTATACGATTCAGATAGGTCTCCGATTTATACATTGTTTGATGACAACTAAATGAGAAGTGTGGTACTGATTTAGTGTAATAAAAAACCTAATGGCCGGCCTATTCTCTTAATGATTTAGTTCAAGGCTAGCAATTAATTTCTCCTACTTTTTATAATTACCTTTATATGTAAACAAAGTTTTCCTTTCGGTTTCATGCTAAATTGTTTAAATCTAATAAATGTGATTTAATTATCACGTGCAACAGTGCTCAAATTAGGAATAACAACGTAGTGAAGCGTTATTAAATATTAAAAATTTACGACTAAAACGTTCGGTGTCTAAAACCAAAAAAATATCCTTTGCTAATATTTTATATCGGGCAATCAAAATACACATATTTACTTGTGGAACATTAAGGTCATTTTAAGGTCTGTTATGATGCGAACAATTGTTGCAGTTACTGAGCATACATATTTTTAAGTGCAGTAGTATGACATTTTTTGTAGCACCAAAAATGAAAAGTAAAACCCATTTTTTTTTTTTTGTAACCCAGATGTTGTTAACACTAAAAAATATAATTGGACAATATAAAGTGGCCTCTGTGAATCGAATAGATAAAACTTAACCGTGAGACGGCCTTAATGACGCATAGAAATGTTGTGATTTTAGAGAAAATTATACCTGGCATATATACTTTGACAATATTTCATATATAAACTGTGTTTATATTTTATGATATTATTACTTATTATTTGAACGTGTAAGGTTAATGTGATATCCGACAACAATAGGTTTTAAACAGTGTCAATGACGTTCGAGGGAAAAATTATCATCCGGCTCGTGTAATGGTTACACGTTTACGAGAATACTATACTTTCAAAATAATTGAGTACTTGTGGTTGTGACTGCATTTCTAATAAATTAGTTGTATAAATGTAACTTTCATTATAAATAATAATAATAATTACTATGATTGTAGCATAGAATATATATATATATGTTTTGCAGTGGATCTGTCACAACTTATCTACAGCTGCGAGACAAGTTTAAAAATATAGGAACGCCACTTATTGAACATCATACTCAAAGATACAATTATTCCCCTAAAAGTGACTTCTGTTGTTTAACTAGTCATTGGTAATATTTCCTAAAAAATGATCAGAACAAATGTCTTCTCCTTTTTATTTTGCTTGAGGTCGGTGTGATTCATTTGCTACAATAATTAAAGTGTTACCACTAGAAATATCTGTTTATGTATACACATAGTACTTTTTTTTAAACTTAAGTATGACTTTTAGTATGAAGTTGACTTTTCATTTTCCTTTTCTCATTTGAGCATTTCAAAACAAATCCAATCCGACTCCTTATATTGTAAGAACCAGGACTCTTTGTATGGTCCCTACGGACAACATGATGACTAAGTGTTTAATTAAACGGGAGCAACTTTTTGGCAAAATCTTATAGCTTAAAGTTATTTTGTTTTAGTTCAAAACTAAATAATTTCAAATAATTATCCGCATAGACGCGCTTTGCT